TTTCACGCGAATCATTCATTTGCGGGGTTTAGCGTAACGTAGTTGTGCCATTATGTTAAAAGTAGATAGGTAAACATATTTAAGTTTATATCCTTAAACTAAATTGAATCTAATGAAACTATTAAACAGACTAAAAAGATCTAATGTAGTTGTTTTTAATTTTCATTATTATTGGTTACTATTGAACTCAAGTTATTTCTATGTCCATCATCACAAACGTTATAAAGTTTTTCAGTACGACGTGTCTTTTCTACTTACGATCGATACAATTTTTGTAAGGATTAAAACGTAGACACGAAGATTGTCTGCCATAAGATATCGATAGTCTTCTTTTATTTACTGTAATTTATGGGCTTATAGAAAACAAAAGGAAGAATATTTCACAAAGAAAATAGCTGACATCATCTCTTTCCTTAACCGCAACAACATCGCGATAAATTTACTTGTTTGACTTCTAATATATTTGTTTGTACGGGACGCGTATTATTTTTCTTCAAGGGGCAAAGAAACTTTCAAAAAGAATTAGTTTTACAAAACACGAAATAAAACGGTCGGTGTGCTTATAAGAGAGCGAGTAAACTTCGATATGTTATTAGAAAAATATTTTCGATGAAAAAATTGTATGAAATCCCAATTTAAATATTTAAATGTATAATAATTACATATCAGAGCCAAAATTTCGTTGTCTACAATCTAATATTGATTCACGTAAATCAATACGTCTCAAGTAGGTTTGGAAAAGCATAAAATTCGCTGGTACGACAGAATGAAACAAATTAACATACTCAAACATAGTTCTTATTATTATTTCCATAGGACTTTACGAGAGGAGCTTGATGACGTAGGTGGTTAGCGCGTTCGGCCTGCGAATGGTCGGTCATTGGACGGGTGACCAAAAACTTCTTATCTCAAGCTCTTCTGTGCTTCGGAAGGCACGTTAAGCCGTTGGTCCCGGCTGCATTTGCAGTCGTTAGCACCCAACAATCTGCACTGGGTTTGCGTGGTGGGTTACGGCCCAATCTCCCTATTCGAGCCAATGGGAAGGCCTGTGCCCCAGCAGTGGAGATATTAATAGGCTGATGAAAAGGACTTTACAATGACGCCTTAGTTGAAGTTGTATGGTCTGACATGCAGTGGTCTGGCCATTAGCTGCTATATTTGGAAACACAGAAGACAAAAGAGGTTAGAAGGGTGATCATATATCGTTTGTATGGGAACCGATGTCGCCGGCTCGCCCTCACTACACTTCCGCGTTATAGATAATAGCCAATCAAACGACTCGACGTCAAACAATCGAACCAATCAGCGCTCACACCCGAAAGCAACGACGCAATCAGAACCAAGCTTTGTTCAAGTTATGAGAATTTGCTCACACATAACTATGGCTCTGTGTTCAGTGTTTGCGAAAGTATGGGCTACTAAAGATAACTCTGTCCAATAGACGTTTGATTGAGATCGACCCGGTTTTAAACGGATTTGCAATCAATTTAGTAATTTGATCGTCCCGGTTGTTGTATCATCTAAGTTAAGAGGGACAAACAACAATAGTAATGTCATAAAAAAATACGACTGGAATTTTTAGTAGTCAATATAAGTGAGTGACGCATATAAATTATATGTTTTTATCACTTCCGCTAGTCCACTATCAGATACTAAAACACTGAAATTAGTGATTTAATATCTATGCTATCAAATAAAAGTTTTGTTTAGTAGAGGAGTCCAAGCGGGGTTTACGGACTTACTTGAGCGCGGCAGGATAACATAAGGGGGACAACCTTGCACCTTGTGAAGTACTCCCACTATACCTGAGCCCTTTATATAGGGTCTAAACTCTAATATCTGGGGCAACGAAGTTTTTTTTCCTTGTGAAAAATATTAATCTGCCCGTTTGCATGGTATAGGGCTGGACGTACAAAGGGGTATTAAATTTGAAAAAAAAAATCGAGAGCGTCAGACATTGAGAAGGGATAAAACTAGTTTTTAAGTACTAGGTTAATGCACGAAACTTTATTTATTTATTGACGTTTCGCAAAGGCTACGAAAAGTCAATAAATAAATAAAGTTTCGTGCATTAACCCGTAAAAACTAGTTTTATTTAATGAGTGATGTAAACCTAAGAAACGAATATTGAGAAGGGATGTTAAGTGAACTCGCAGGAGCTCGATGGCGCAGGTGGATAGCGCGTTCGGCCTGCGATCGTGGAAGTTAAGCAACTTTCGCTATGGTCGGTCACTAGATGGGTAACTTATTTGTCAATTTATTATGTCTATTTATAGTTCTTTTTTTTCTTGCTGCTTTAAATGTTCGACCCTAAAGGGCTCAAGTATGGTAGCTGTACTTCACAAGGTGCAAGGTTATGCTATTCTGCAGCTCATGCTCCAGTAAATCCCAAAATCCCCACTTGGGCTCCCCTCCTAATACCATCTTACTACTTAGAAAGCTAGTTTTATCCAATTACTGACAATTGTTTTCATTATCATCGGAAATGAAAGATTATTACAGAGAGATTAAATTTTTCTTTTATCATAGCTAACTTCGAGGCCATTTATTTTTAAACATATCTACGTTTATGACGAATATATCTAGTTTATTAAGCTGTTTACCATCACGTGCATTTTGAATGAACAGCTGTCTACATTTCTGATGTAGTTTTTGCTTTTAAATTCTGCTATATACTGGATATTCGCCAAGCATACTTCATAGAAAAAATGAGCAGTCGTGAGACGCCTGATAGAAGTGAAAATGTCAAGAAAAATAAATATAACTTAAAAACTATTTCGGATAATTGGGATCAAATTGACAAAAAATCTTTTGACTCATTCTTCCTTAATGACCTTCAAAGCAACGGAGCTCTCGTTATTCTCGACCAAGTTACAGTAAATTTTCATCATCGCCAGCGATGGACGTCCACTGCTGGGTCTAGGCCTCCTCTGGGGATCTAACACAACGGCCCTAAACTTTCCGCATCCAGTGGAACCGCCCGACTCGCTGGATGTCGTCAGTTATCTGGTGAGGGTTACTGTTGACAGTCACCCTGTCACCCATGGGAGGCAGTGACCACTTATCATTAAGTGGAATGCCAACTCGTTTGCCTACAAAAACATATAAAACTACATGATTACAAAAAATTGTAAACAGTATGTACCTATTTAAGAAAATAGAGGAAAGTTGGTTAGTCGTCAACGGAAACCAGACGACTTTAATGAACAAGCTCGTAAATTGATTTAATTCACTGTGAATTTACTGAATCCCACTGATGTGGGTTGGCAAAAACTATGTTCTATTGCGTTTGGTTTAAAGTTCAAATGTGTTACATAGTGTGTGACTCGTGCTTATGACTGTGCCAATTGCGTGTAATTTACATTTGGATATCACACGGCGTTATTTGCTCTTAGATGCCCCACTATCTTCAGTATTTCAGGACATAATAGATAAAGATAATTCTAAAATTACATTCGTAATAAAAATCATTCACTTAAGAAAGTCATAGTCGTTCGGCTGAGAAGGAAAGTAAAAATTAGCAAGTGCGCAAAACTTCCCGCGCAAACCACACAATAGAGGAATTGGTCCTGACGATAGAGAAGTAACAAAGATAACATAGATACAGAACATTGTACTAGAAAAAGAAATCAATGGCGTCGCCGAAACAAAACCAAAAACTATCCGCAAAGCATTCAATAATAGATAACAATTCCATCAAATTAAATATTTGTCAAAATGAGTCATTGCCTTCTAAGTGTTTGTTGTTGTTTTTATTGCAAAAAAGGGAAATAATCAATTTTAATCAAGCTTGAATGTTTATTGATGACTGTTTGTACTGCCTTTAGTGCAATAATCGACCTCGAACCAATAGAAGTAACATTACAATGGTATCGTGACGAACGAATGATTAAGTACTAGAAGTGATTATGAATCAGTCAATACTAATTACCCTGTAAGACAATAATGAATCACAATAGGTACCTACCTACCTACTCGAATAGTAGGTTCTTACAATTTTCATTTCTTATAGATCATCACTCGTTTTTACCGCTACTCAGTTCCTTTAGTATGAGCACCAAAATAAACATTAATTCACGTATTTTATCACGTGTACCTCTAAAGTGATATTAAATGTAAAGAAAAAAAATACTAGAAAGATATCTATCTAAAAATATATATTCCTTGCAGTCATAGAAATACTAGAAATAATTCGGCACAGCCGTCCGGGCTGTGGTAGCATAATAGTCAGTGCATCCGCCCGGATAGCGGAGTAGGGTGCGGGTTCGAGTCCCATCTGCTGCCTGGTCCGCGTGGAATTTGTTCTAGTAAAAAATTTCTTTTTGAAATATATAGCAGTTAAATGCTTAATTAAGAAATAAAAAATATTATCTATAGTAATTTGACAACTGAGTGTGATAAAAACGAGTTTTATTATATCATATCACGGTGCTCATGCTAGGGGGGCAGGGTAAATTTTCTTCCAGCCCCTCGAGCATAATCACCGAAACGGGATATAATAAAGCGATATATCGGCTTTAACTGTCAAACTACACTGTAGTCTGACAGTTAATGCCGATATATCGCATAGGCATAGGTATGCAAAACACTCAAATTATTATGGATGTGACCATAATAATTTGATTATTGTATCCCATTTTTAAATCATTGTCTTCACAAAAATTGCAATTGATCTACGAAAAAATACTATTGGTAATAACACCTAACTGGTTACCAATTGAATTTTGAGCTGATATTTTTTTAGGACAATTTAAATATTTTCCATTATTATGTAGCTAAGGATCTAGAAAAGAAATAAGACAGTGTTGTAGATTTCCTGAAATAAATAAAAAATAAAAATATAAAACGATATTTAGTTAAACCTTTTCGGATAACAAGGGAATGGGGAAACTTGTCATTTGGTTTTTTATAACACAACTAAGTATGTTTCTACAAAAGGACCAATTAAATTTTTAAAAATATTTTTTCTAAATTAATTTGCTCGTCTGTTTTGTTTTCAGGTTCATGTTTACGGTGTTACCAGTGCAACTCTCAAGCCGACCCGACATGTCGCGACCCCTTCCAGAAAACTGCCAAATCAGTCGTAAGTTTAATTAAAAGATAACATTTATTACCTGCGGTTTCGTCTGTGTGGTTTAAATGGTTTCCCATCCATACTTCCGCCACTCCTTTGACCTCCATATAGGATAACTTCTGGATTAAATGCTATCCTATGTCCTTTGGAATCGTCCATTAATCACGTGCGGCCCAAAAGGAGAGGAACTCCCCAGGGGTTTGGAAAAAAAATCATAGAAACACAACACACCACCAAAATAGTGATGAGTCGTGAGTCGCCTCGTTTGTGTTCCTCGTCGCGATAGAATGAGGGTTCGTATTTCAAATGTATAGGTACCAAAAGTTGCTAAAAATCAGTCAGCATCACGATCAATAGACGATCCCCGGGAAACACCCAATCGGTTGATCGGCTTAAGTGTGGAAGTAACAAACAGACAAACAGACATTCATATAATATTAATATTGATAAGTAAAAAGAGTGTATACTTTTAAACACAACATTATCAATAACTTGTTTTAACTAGGTTACTACGGGTTTGTGTTGTTATTAATATTTATTGAATGTTTTGGAGATTTTTAATCTTCACCAGAGCTACAAGTAGTCCTTAACTAATGATAGATAAAACAATGGATTGGATAAGGGAAGTTTTTAAAACTCATCTTGCATTCTTGTAAGCAATAAAAATCATAATTTTGGTAATAATTCTGGGCAATAATCTGGGAACTTATCAGATACAGTCTATGTCAGATTATGTCAGAGAGCCATACAAATAAGATGAATTAAGCATAACTCGCAAACCCTTGCGGAAGGCGCTCGGAAGGCTTGTCCATTTTTCCGATACACCATGGAGTGAAACAATCACGCAATCAAATTATAGAACAAAAAACCCGCGCGAACTTGCGGTGTCGTTTGTGGTTTCTCTACAAGTCTAAACAAGTAGACAACCGCGGGCCCGCGCTGCGCCCGTAGACAGTGTCCGCTCACCCGCGCGGTTACGCGGACGCTAGTGCGTTGTCATCATACCTATATGCCTGAAAATGTCGAATGCTCTAAGTCCTTAGGCCTTAAACGTAGTGCACAATATGTCAAAGTAACTCTAATATGACAAATAGACACCATTTTGTGGAATGTTGTAAATCGCCTCCCTGTGCTCATGTTACAAACAAAACGTAGCCATATAAAGCATACTTCATCATTACATGTAACCTTAATGATTATGTGAGTTTTCTAGAATATATTTATTTTATTAAAATGTTCGTGGTTGCATTACAGGACTGCGGCTCCCAAGACTCGTACAACTACAACAATAACTTCTTGAGGTTCCTCCTGACCACGGAAGACAATAAGCATATGAATATCGTCGGAGCGACAAGATACTGCCACAAAATCGTTACGAGTGAGTATATCATACAACTACAAACCCAATTACAAACTACAGACAGTGAACAGATACTTCCATGTAACATTTCAAAAGTTTGAGATACCATGTGAAACTAGCAAAAGATTCAAACTCGTTTCAGACGAAATTGTTTTTATAGTCTAGGTTTTCACAAGCTCTTGTGAATTTGTACTCAATACCATCGGTTCATTAATCTACGGTAGGAGATCTTCCACTGTCAACAACCGACAAGAAACTCAAATAACACGCTACTTCAACTGTTAACTTTACCATGCTGATACTAAAAGCCTGTATCATTGTTGTTTCTGGACTACGTACTAAGTAGATGGGTATCCAAAACCGCTAATACAATCATAATTGTGCAGTTGTAGTTTTGTGTTAACAAGTGGCATTTCACGTTTGACTTGGCAGCTTCAGTTAAGGGCTAAGTAGCGGTAACTCAACTTGTTGGGCGTATTGACTTGAGCTGTTAATGTATCCTACGCTTCCGCAGCTACTGGCATTTGGCCAAAGTCGTGCAAAGCAACTTCTGACAACCCCTTTGCTGTCATCTCAAAGATATCTGAACAAAGCGAACTATGTATAAGTCATCTTCAGTTTTACACATTTTATTCGTATATGTGTCGTAAGATGATATCATAAATCAAATTTTAAATCCGAGGGATTTTTGCGAAAATATATTTATAATAAGCCAACGATTCTTTTCGCAATCTTACTATTTTCAGAAAGATTGAGAAATGTCATCGCCGTTATCTAATTATCCGTGTTTTCGCAAAGACCCTAGGATTTTCGCAAAAAGTCAATTTACCAAATCATCTTGCGATATATGAAATACAAAGAGAAATGTTACAAGGAAGGCTCGTTTGTTGTGGACATAACATCGAGCACAGTGTTATCAACCATTTGCAGATATATAGTATATTGCTTGTAAAATGCCTTTTCTAAACTCATCTTTAGAATCAAAGCAATGTATCCTTCTGATCTGAATCAATGTTTATGTTTCCGTTTATATTGTTTATAGGCACGGGCACAGTGATCCGTACGTGTCTCGACTCCAACCCGATTAACAAGAATCAGTCGTGCCAACTGCTGGACTCGCCTATTCAGATCGACGCCTCCAGGAAGATCACACACTGCAGCGTCTGCGAGAGCGACAACTGCAACGGCGTCGGCGCCATCTCCTCCTCACTCCCTCTAGCAGCGATGACTGTGTTCCTCTCCTACCTCGTCTACAAGCAATAATAAACACAACATCAGTAACACAATCTCATTGGCTTAAGCTTCCCGCTTAATGCTTCCACTACGGTGGTATTTAAACAGCAACTCCACTGTTTTTACACGCCGAACCAACGTGACGGAAGTTTTAAATGAATCACAAAATTAGTTATTTATATATTTTTTCTTTTAAAACCGACTTAAACTTTACCGTTTTTTTAAACTCAACTATTTTTAACGATAGTTTGACACAGCCTACTAGTCATTTGACCCATCGTGACTCAACACAGTTTAATTTATTTAATTTTCAGAGTTCGACAAAGGTAATTCGATTTAAGACGAAGACATAGAAGGTACCTGTAAATTGTTTTAAAAGCGTAGTCTATTCGAAAATAAATCGGTGATCAGTAACTTCAATATTTTCAAGAAATAAAAAATACAAACTTACAAAGTTTTCTTATATGAAGATTTCAGCACGTATGCTTTTTGAAAACATGGAATTTAGATTTTCAATTTCCATACACAGAGATGTATGAGGCCAAGATAAAGTAAAGTTTGTATTGCCTTAAATGTACGACCGTCCAAATACGATTGGTGTTACTTATGCTTTGTGAAATTTTATTATGTAGTAGGTTCTGTATATCCCTATCGCCAATTTTTTTGGTAACGGGTGGAAATTAATGGAATTTGTCCATTTATCTCCTCTGCGTAGATGTGGTATAAGATAATAATAAAAGTACCTGGTTTTTCTGAGAAACTGTATACCGGTAGTTCAAGGCGGTAGGGGTACATGGAACAGCAGTGGTATTCGTAAAAAGAAACTCACTTGTCATCTCGGAATCCAAAGTGTGATTAAAATTTAGAACACGAATTTTAAAACACACCTGCGAATTCCGCGGTGAGAAGTGAGTTTGTTTTTACAGAATAGCAAAGTAGGCGGTAGAATTTATGTATTGTAGATGTGTAGTTATATGAAATAGTTATATGACGTTAGAGGTTTTAATTTTTAATACTTAATGATATTATTTACCACCTGGATTTGAGTAAACATAAACGTAGCGAAAGTAATTTCAGCATTTCTTGACAAAACTCTTATATAAAGTTAGTATAATGTCGAATAATGTTGTTCGTGTGTACTAATTTGATACGGTGCCATCGGATATTATATTGAGTTTGTCAAGAGGTGATGAAAAAGTTAACAAAAATATTTTCTTTGCTTAGAATGTAAACATGCAAAAAGTCACCATTATAGTGAGTTCACTGGATATTAATGTTAATTAATATTGCTCTGTTGTTGTTGATGTATTCAGTAAGGAAAAGTTGTTAAAATGTCTGAAGTTAGTTTTTAAAGTTGAAATTGTAATACTTATTTTAAAGATTGTTAACGAAGTTACGTTATACAATACATTTAACAAAGCATTCAAAAAGATGCGTCAAAAATTCGAATTTATAAGAATCTCTTGTTTGATAGCATTTAAAGGGTAAGAACTAAAACTTTATTGTAAGCAATAACTAATTACCAAATGACTAACAAAAAAAAAACAACTGAAAATCAAGATGACTTCATTTTCTAATCGATATTAAGTATGGACAAACTTAAGCATTTAATGTACCTATTTGAATAATTAAGTTTATTGAGAATTCTTTTATGTTTTATTTAATAAAGTGAATAAAATTACAATTTTAGTTTATTTTTATAAACCTTTTGTTTACTGATATCCATGTCTATCACTATAACAAGAAGAAAGCGTCTAATTCTTCAAATGACAAAGAAATTAAGACTCCATTTCCGGAATACTGATCGGAATACTTGGCGGAAAAAAAATAGAATATTATGCTTTGCATTTTTAAGAATACCATACATTTATTTGATAGGAAGCTAGACATATAAATAAATTCCATAAACAAAGCCTTTTCATTCTAAGATATCAAACGAATACCTTTACAAGTCTTAAATATTCGAAAAAAGAAATAGCAATTGTCGATTGTGCAAGACTTTTTCGAATTATTTATAAGCTATACAAACTCGAGGTGCCAAACAAACTGGTGCTCATCACACGGGACTTTTTTATGCACGGTGCCACGGGCTGTACGCTGGCTGCTACTTGTGTAATAATCGACTAGCACCGTGACATTAAGTTAGATTCTATCGCACTAAGACTAAGAACGCCTTGAAATTTCAATAAAACCGTGCATTACCCGAACCCCTAGCAGTTAAAGTCTCTGGCTATCACACATCCAACGAACAGATCATCACTCGTAGGCCCTTTCGATTCCACCGGTTTAAGCACGTCTAAGAATACCCCGACGATGATATCACCCGCGATACGACCCCAACTTTTTCCCACACGGACAAAAACAGTAACACTACACAGCTAGCAAACATGCACACTAGCTTAGCATTAGGCAGCACCGCACCCGTAGGAAAAGAGTGCGAGACCCGACCTACACTCGACGCGCTGTACCAGGTATAGATATTTTAGTCTTAGTCTTAGTAGTACGGCGGGCTGTTTCCGCAACTCGACACACAGTACCTATTTTGCGTGGGGATTGGCATCAAAGCTCAGCAGTCCCCAACATCCGGGGGCTGCAGGCTTCTACTAGTGTCCATGGGCTTCCCATTAGAGAAGTCCTTTGTCTTGCAACGTCTCTGCACTCCAGCAGAACATGGGCGCTCGTCTCCTCCTCCTCCAAGCAGGCTCTGCACAGAGGGCTGTCAGAAATACCTATATAATAAAGGGTTTTGTTGAAGTAGCCGTGACCCGTGAGCATACCCACGATTTGTATCAGGGCTTGTCTAGGTAGTAGACCAGGTATAGATATATCCCTGGGCGGTTTTTTCCCGCACCCCCACGACAACGGCTAACTAAAGCTGAGGTCCGAGTCTCAGAAAAACCCTCTAGTTGAGCCGACTCACTCAGGTTCGAGAAATCTAGAGGCTCCAGTCTGAGAGGAGACTCCCTTTGAGGGGAGACGCCATCCGCCTGGAATACCTCTAGAGGCACTCGCCAAATCTCGGCTTGAGGCCCCTTTTGGGTCTCGCCGTCCACAAACCCAGTGACGCTGTAAAGGTCATCTGCGACCAACAGCAGACACACATAAAAGAAAAACGACGGGTGCATTTTTGATATTTTGGAATGGTTAGGGAATAATTTTGCACGAATTGCTTTAAGTATCATAATAAAAGTACATTTATGTGGTAGAATACATATTTTATTTATTGCGCTATCGTACACAAACATGACGATTACATTAAAAAGTTTATCTCTCAGAAAAATCAACTTACATGAATCACATTTAAGCGCACCTAGCTACATCTATTGTAAACAAAAATGCATTTTCTTCGCAATAAAGCTGCCACCTGGACGTCCTAATAAGAGACTTATTATTATAATACGATAATATAAAATATTACTATGTTTCGTCCAATATGTTCAAAGTCAACAAAAGTCAACCTTTCCAATTCTATTGTTTTCGTCTTAAGAATTTTCTTTTTTTTTTATATATTAAGGTAGGCAAATGACTCTACCCCACTTGATGCTAAGTGGTAATAAAGTCCAAACGCGAAGATAGCTGGTACAGCAGTTATAAACTGCTACACCAATCATCCTCACCTTGCCGGCCTGCAAAAATGCTTCTTCGCGCCTCTCTTAAAGGACCCCAGATTATAGGAAGGAGGGAACACTTGCACGGGTAAAGAATTTCACTTACGAATAGTACGACAAAGAAAAGAGTCACCAAATTTCTTTGTTCGTGTAGGAATAGTGGCCACAGTAAGTCGGTGGCAACGTAGGCCAGCGTGCGTGGTCCTCTGAAGAAAAGGTGATGGAGAGATAAGGGAGAATAACTCCTCAGAACACTCGCCGTGGTATAGACGATAAAATGCGCTTAATGATGCCACATCGCGGCGTAATTGTAGAGACTCGAATTTCTTGGTTACCTCTTCATCGCCAATGATGCGGACAGCGCGCCGCTGCAACCTATCCAAGGCATCGAGTAAGTACTTAGCGGAGCCATCCCAGAGGTGCGAGCAATATTCCACGCAGGACCGCACTTGCGTTTTGTACAACAAGCACAGTTGATCGGGCGTGAAAAAACGCCGCACCTTGTTCAGGACTCCAAATTTGCGTGAAGATGTTTTGATCACGGTTTCGATGTAGTCCTTTGGATTCATGTCTGAGCGAATTTCCATACCGAGCATGGTAACGTTGCTCTGTAGCGCCAGTGTTGTGCCCTGAAGAGAGGGAAGGGGAAAGAATGGCGATGTTTTTGCCGTGAAAGCGCAGGCCTGAGTTTTCTTGAAATTGAACTCTACCAAGTTGCTGGTACCCCGTTCGGAAATGTGGTGCAAAGCTTGATTGAATTGAGCGACAAGATTCTCCCGTTTCTCCTTGGTTTCTATCTCGCATGCACTGTACTATCGTCTGCATAGCAATGAATATTCGCAAGTGGAATCAAATCATTGATATGCAGCAGAAACAGTGTAGGGGATAGAACGGAGCCCTGAGGAACACCGGCATTCACTGACATGAACTGCGAACTACTTCCGTCTGTAAGGACACGAATTCTACGTTCACGCAGGAAGTCAGCTACCCAGGCGCAGAGCTGAGCAGGCAGACCGTATGCAGGAAGCTTGGAGAGAAGGCTTTTGTGCCAGACCCTGTCAAAAGCCTTGGCGATGTCAAGGCTAATAGCCAGAGACTCTCCCCGCTTGTCTATAGCTTCACCCCAGATGTGTGTCACGTACGCTAGAAGGTCACCCGTCGGTCGATTCGACCTAAATCCGTATTGATGATCGTGAATCAGAGAGTAATCTTCTAGGTAGCGGGTCAGATGGTTGTTAAGGACCCTTTCTAAGACTTTACACAACACTGAAGTGACAGCTATCGGCCGATAGTTAGCTGGATCTGAGCGGTCCCCTTTTTTGGGCACCGGTTGCACATTGGCATCCCTCCATGCCTCCGGCACACGCCCCAAAGAGTAAGAGAGTTGGTACAGGCGCGTAAGCACAAGAGACAACTCCGCTGCACAATGTTTTAGCACAACTGCTGGGATGCCATCGGGTCCACTAGCTTTCCGGACGTCGAGTGATTGCAACTCCGCACGAATATCACGCTGCCTGATTTTAATGTCAGGCTTCGTAGTGCCACAATGAGGAAGTGTATGTAGGTTGCAGTGCATTGCAATCACTGATTCGGGAGTTAGCCGCAAAGAGTTTTGCCAACAAATCAGCTTTCTCTTGTGGCTCATGAGCTAGTGACCCATCTGGACATCGCAAAGGTGGCAGCGAGGGCTGGTAGAAGTTGTGCTGCACGGCCATAGCCAAACGCCAAAAACTACGGGAGCCCGTAGGGTGCGTTAACAATTCGTGGTCAGTACGTGCTACACGTTGGGCATCCGCTCTGATGTAAGCCTTTTTGCAAGACTTGGAAGCATTATTATAGGCAGCTTTCAGTGAGTCAACCCTGGGATCTTTAAGAGCGCGGCCTCTGGTCCAAGCGCGATATGCCGCCTGCCTGAACCAGCGGTTACGTGTGCCCTTACTGATGAGATCAGAATGTGGAATGTAATACTCCATTCCCATTAAGTTCCCCTCAGTAATAGCAACGGCGCTGGTCGATAGGTCCTTTTCACTGAAGCAGCGCTGCTTCCAAGGGATGGAAGCAAAGAAGTCGCGTATACCATCCCAATATGCCGACCCATAGTGCCAGACCCTGCGTTTGACCACCAATGGTCGAGGGATCTTGACCTGTGGCACCTTGGCAGATATCAGGCAATGATCTGATGAACCCAGTGGGGCTCGAATCACAACCTGATACTCCTGCGGATGAGTCGTAAAACGTGGACACGTGACCTAATCAGAACGTCAGGACTGACGCGATCAGGCCACGTATCCTAACGCGAATAACAGTTTTTACCCAGTACCCATTACAAAAAAGTGTACAATGCTGCTAAAGAAGTTTTCACTTCAAAAAACTGTTGTACGAAACTTAAGTTAACAGGGACGAATTCGCGGACGGTAGCTACTCATCATCAGCCTGTTAATGTCGCCACTATTGGGGCACAGCCTTTGCTTTTTATTATATTTGCTTAACGTATCTTCCGAAGCACGGAGGAGCTCGAGAAAGTAAATTTTTGGTCACCCATCCAATGACCGACCACTGCGACCGTTGTTTAACTTCAACAATCGCAGCCGACCGCGCTAACCTATTGCTATTCTTTTAGCTAGTAAATATTACAAAATAATTAGTTACTCTCTTTGGAAAGAAGCTGAGATCAGACTGTTTAGTCATTAATGCGTATCTATGAAGTGCATGGCACTAAACATTCTATCATATCATATCAGCAGATAAAATGGCCAGGAGTGGAGCTCGTATCCGTTACATCTACAGGCTGTTTTAATATTTTCCTTTTTATTATTATTTTATTATGTCGACACAGTTGCACCGTCACGGGGCTGCAAGCTGTAAGGAAACACCAACTCATAACAAAATAATTCGCCATTCCTTTCATGGATCAAAGCATTCGCCCTGAGGCCGATTGTATATAGTTTGTATTGTATATAAACATGCTTGAAAAGGACATTGTTCTGCGTCCATACATAGTTAGCCTAAGAACCAACAATCATGAAATATTATTTTCTAGGTTTGAAATCGCAAGTTAATGACTGTAAAAACAAAGATTATTGACGGACACGTCTGAGAACTTAAATTATTAGGAAAACTAATTTTTTTTTTGAGGTTAAACATAACCATATTCAATGAAACATAGGTCAACAACCTATGAACTTAGTATGAAGTGAATTAATATTACAACTAATTCATTTTATTCGGAGTGATTTTAAAGAATAACTATTAGGAAAATCTTGGTTAGGTAGGAATCATGAATAAAATAAAAACTGTAGTTTTGCTTTTTATTTATTGACTATTTTTTACATAATTTTATCATATTGTATATTGTATTTATTTGTATATCACATGTATATTGTGTAAATATGCAGCGTCAATGTGTATCAGGTGCTCTTGAATAATTTGGCAGTATGATCCTCTCAGGATGTAGTGGCACAGATTCACTAGCACTTGGTAATAAAGTCTCTTTTCTTTTGTAACATCGATGGCATATTAAATAGCCGAAATAGTTAAATTGAAGGAAAAACAATCGCAAATAAACACACAACAGGCAATCCGAAACTTTTTTTTTTAATATTATGACCTGGTAACAAAGACCTTTAGGTCATAACTTATTTGGAAAATGTTTATTACTTTGGAGTCACTACACTTCACTTCACAAAATTTCGTAATCCGAAACGAGAATGCACGAATGCCACAGATTACTACGAATGCAAAATACCTGCACCACAACCACAGATTATCGAGTTTTATGCCGGCCCTTCACTTGAAAACAGTTTGTCCTTGTCATGCTTAGTAAGAAATGAAAAGGACAGACTGATGTTATGTTTTCAAATAGCAAATACGAATAGCCATGTGAAGTGCCGGCATAAGGAAGAAAGAGTGTTTTGTTTGCAGCGCTGTCATACACAGCCCTGCAAACTTTAACATAACATAACATTTGTGTATAAACACATAAAATGGTATTTTATGTCTCAGATTATTTTTTAACTTTTTAATTTCGCTTACTTAACTGGAAGTGTCCGTCACAATCTAAATAATGATAATTATCGCAAAAAATATACTAAGAATTATCATAAATGCCAAATTGGTGTTGGTTCTTAGGCCAATTTTAACATTGTCCTTTGAGCATTTTGACAACCTTCTTCGTGATAAAATGAAATTGCTGTACTGGCCAAATATGTGCGAGTAGCCGAAAAAAGTTGTATGAAAATCCATATAATTATCTGTCTGTCGTGGTTAGCGGCCAAATAAATTATATAGTAAACGCATATCTGTCGTTTTATTTATCTTGAAACATGGCAAATTTTACTCCGAAACATGGCAACCAAGGAGGGAACTAATCTTATTTAAATTTTGACCGGACTTGCAAATATAAATCTGTTTATTAAAAACTGTTTAGGTTAGAATAGAAAGGGTGACGAAGATGATCACGATATATCCATAATAAAACTCAAATTAAATTAAATGATTTTCTAAGATGAAAAGACAACTGTTCGTACGTTAGGTTCAAATTATTTTTTTAAAGTAACCAATACCTGTGGAAACATTATATCTTATTTATTAAAATTTACTCAGAACCCATTCGAATCGTCTCATAAAATATTTTTTTGGCACCAAATGAATATTTTGGGGTTTTAAAATCTTTGTTCAAAACAAAGACATTATCATAAAGGTTAATAACTAAGGTACTGGAAATTTAAAAAAAAAACACTATGTATATTGAAAAATTTTCCCTTATAAAATAATTCTGCAAAGGCAGATTCATTGTTAGGTCATATGAGTGGCTATGTAGTCTAGTATTATTCAATATGTCTAACAGACTTGTAGAGATTTTTGTATTATCTTCGATTCTTTTTATGTGCGCCAGAGACGGTATGTATTGTATTCAAAGTCTGTCCTTAATATTTCTAATAATGTACCTATATTTACCCAATTCTATTATAAGAAAGTTATTTCAGATATTTATTACTCACTTAATTTTAAAATTTAGTGCAGTAGTGGTTTAACAAAATTTTGCTAGACTACTTAACGATTAAAATGTTGTAATTTTATGTTCATTATATGTATAATTTAGCTTTAAACGTGCAATTTGGAGCAACCGATTCTATGGAACCTAATCAAATTATTTTTAAAGATAAAATGACTCATCCATAATTATATTCTTTAACTACTTATGTTAAAAGATGATAAGCGCAATAAAAATGCACATACGTTGATAAAATTAAGTACTTCATGGCTCCAGTACATACTGGCTCATTTTCTATTTTTCACATTAAGTTAAAATCAATTCAGTAGCTTCCGCCCGCGATTTTGTCCACGTTATATATAGGTAGTTTTTTTGACAATCCCACATGATACTATCATTTTAACTGAATAAAAGCTATCTAACAGTATTTTTTTGATAATAGCGAAATATCGGGGACCCACAAAAAGCAAGGTCAATGGTAGCAATCCCGTTAATAACAAAAAATATTGCAATGGTCACTAAGACCATGAAGGTTTAAAACAAATTAGTATATTTTGCCTCGATACAATAAACTATATGTGTGCCAAATTTCATGCAAATCCGTTGAGCTGTTTTTGCGTGATTGATTACCAATATCCAAACATACTTCAAACGTTCTAATTTATAATATTAGTAGAAAGTAGGATATTTAAGTGTCATAGTACATTGTTTTAAATATTTCCAAATAAAAAAAAAGTTTGAGCTGCAATGAGTTGTACAGATATGTCATGATTCCAGTACAAAATGCTAGAAAGGTTTATTACTTGTAAGTAACTCTCTTTTGAATTAGTATAGATTGTAATCTTGGTATTCCTGATTAGAAGCAAGAAGTTACGAACTTACTTTTAGAAATAGAAAATATGTGAAATAAGTCATAGATCCATATATTTTTCTTATTACAGTTAACGGTCTCCAATGCTATTACTGTACCAATTGCAATGGTACGAACGCACAAAAGGCAACATGTGCAAAATTTAATATAACTGCGACCGCACCCACGACTCCTATATCGACTACAACCTCTTCTTCGTCAACTGATGGATCAACAAGCTTAACAACAAATCCTAGTACTTCGACTGACGACTCGGTAGATTTAACAACTAACCAATCTACGAATACTTCAAATCAATCTACAGAGACTAAAGCATCAACTTCTTCTTCCACCACTACAACTCTTACTTCATCGTCTACTGAAACGTCTACAATAACAAACAAAGAAAATGCTACAGCTTCTGAATTTACCAATGTCAGTATTAAAAGTAGTGTAGAAGAGATGTTTACAGAACTATCAGAAGACAACTGCAAATGCAAAGAAGTATGTGCTATGGTAATCCAATTACGCCTTTATGTTATTTGATATCAAATATGTATCTTAATTCATCCTGTCTTAATTTCAGGGAAAATGCTATTGTGGTGAAAGATCTATATCATTCGAAGAAATACATTTTGTATGTGTCACTGATACCCAAAAAGGTGACTCTACCACATATACATATTCTTCCTAACTTCGTGTGAGTTGCACCACAGAGCTAGTTAAAATTAAATTTTACTATAAATTTAACCGGTCTCGCTTGGACAGTTAATTATCACTGTCAAATTATGATATAATTTTGACCCTGCTTTTATATGGCCACGGCGACGAGTGTTCTGAAGAGTTATTCTCCCTTATCCCTCCATCACCTTTTCTTCATAGGACCACGCGCGCTGGCGGCGCTGGCTTACGTTGTCACTGAATTACTGTGGCCACTATTCCTATACGAACAAAGAAATTTGGTGACTTATTTCTTTGTCGTACTATTCGCAAGTGAAATTCTTTGCCCGCGCACGTGTTTCCCCCTGCCTACAATCTGGGATCCTTTAAGTGAGGCGTGTAGAAGCCTTTTTGCAGACCGGCACGGTAAGGATGGTTGGTGTGGCAGTTTATAACTGCTGTACCAGCTATCTTCGCGTCTGGACTTTAGGACCACTTAATCTCAGGTGGGGTAGAGTCATTTGCCTACCTGGCTATACATAAAAAAAACAACCATGGTGCCATTCATTTTCTATCTAAACGGTACTTTAACTCAACTGTTTAAATGAAATTAAAGCAAGTTGGTGCAACTCACGCTTACCTACTGTTTTATTTTTGCAATTCGAAATTGAAAACGCCAATGTACGGTGTAATTCAGCATTTTTATTATTCATAGTACCTAGCTAAATGATAATCTTATTTTTCAGTTGATGATGTGCAAGTTATAAACAAAGGCTGCGCTGTAAAATTAAATACATCATTGAACACATGCCAGCAGTCAGGATACAGTTCAAATTGTAAAATTTGCGAAACGAATTTATGCAATCTGGCGGCTTCCTTGAAATTCTCCGCTGGCTTTCTTATATTCGTCATACTATCGTGTACGATTAAATAAAACATGTTTTACATAAATCACTGTAGTTATTCAATAACTGTTCTATTGGTCCTTTAAAAAACTTACCTTGATTTCTACATGAAGAGGCAAGAGAAATTAACGTTTAGGCAGTTAATATACCAGAGTTCCTTCCTTTCACATAATTTAAGTAGTTGCTAAAAATTACTAAAGTAATTGATAAAAAGCCATCTACCTGAGCAGCTCCATGGCCCAGGAGGAGCAACGCGCTAGAGTACCGGCCGGTCATTGGATGGGTGAACATTAGTAGTCGTGTAGTCGTTAGGATCCACCAATACGCACTGGGCCCGCGTGGTGAATCATGGCCCAATCTCCCTATTCCACAAATGGTAGGTCAGTGGCGGTATTAGAAGGCTGATGAGGCAGCCCCCCCCCCTCCCAAGAATTAGATTATTTTTTCAAAATATAGGCCAGTATTGAAAGACCCATTTTTAGGTTTTGCGCATATATCTCGGAAACTATGCATTCTAGCGACATGAGACTTTGGGAAAAGTGAGAGCTGATTAAATTTACTACAAGTCTTAGGGTTGCTACTATGTGCACAAAGTTTAAAATTTTAATATTTTGAAATTCATCATATACCTGTCTCTTCATCACATCAACGTCCTATCATGTCCTCACCACTGAGATAAAGGCTCTGCATCATTCCCACTCATAGCCTTCCGGGTGTATTTTAGTCAGTAAGAGTCTGACATAAGTCTGCAGCTGTAGGGTATCCATGAGGACTTCCCTCCCCCCGCTCTCCCACCTGGGAGAAAACAAAAAAGAAGATAAATGACTTAACTATGGATAGAATAGGAAGAACGGGCCATAACCATGACCCACCACGTCGGTCTTGTGCGGAGTGCAAACGTAACGTATGCGGGGTCCAACGACGGAGGAGGTCGAGATAATAAATAAATCAATTGTGGATTTAAATAAAAAAAAAATGAAAAGCAATCCATCGCCTGCAATAGCTGCTTAGGTAAACTGCACTTAATAGATAGCATCGAGCGTATTATACCATATCTATATTTAAATAATACTAATAAAATGCACACTATTTGTTAGTGTAATGATGAATCATATCTAATAAAGTACAATACGTGTTTTAAGATATGAATTAAAATAAACGATAACGATGTGATAGGAAAATTTTAATAGGTATCACAAAAGATAACGATAAAAATGTTCAAGTGTCTAGTTACACCAAATTATTCAATGATGCGTAAGACTTGAAAAATGACATTCATTCAGGGTGAACTTGCAGCAAAGTCTTATTCTTCTTTTCAGCCGTTCTCAACCAGTCTGGTGTAGGCCTCCTTCAAATTACGCCATCTAGTTCGATTTTGCGCCACTTCCATTCAATTCGTCCCTGCAGTGTTCCTGACATCATGCTTCCAACGCATCTGTGGTCCTCCTCTAGGTCGTTTCTCGTCCAAGGTCTCCATTCCAAGACCGCCTTACCACACGAGCCATGCTTTCGGGCTATATGTCCCGCCCACCGAAGCCCGGGCGGGACAAAAGTGTTAATTCAAATAAAAGCTAATAATGTTTGAGCCTCAATCTAGATAGATTAGAAAAGAGATCTTTTTTAACTATAAACAATGACAAAGATGGAATATCTTAAACACGATTAAGATATTTTATAGCACAGTGTGACCTAAACCCGCATTTTACGCACGCTTTTCCGTGACCTAAGTTGCCTATTTCTGCACGGTGTGTAAATGAATTGACCAACTTCACTCATGTAGAAAAAATAAAAGGAAACACATTTAAATGTCATTTGGAGCTTAAAAACTAACAGCAAACAAATGACAAATTAGCGATAGGTTAGGAATTTCCAGTGACAGCCAAAACAAGGAGAAACAGTTAGTTAGAATTCATTCCGCGAGAATTGTATCTTTTTCCTTTTGAAATATACTTTCAAAATGGTAATCTGAACCGGAATTCTTTCTTTTCAGAGTTTGACTTGCAGTTTGTATTGCAATTCTTTGTGATTGCAATACATGAATTTTACTTTCAAAACACTAATCGGATCCCTCGGGGGGCCCTCCGGCCCCCCCGAACCCCCCCTCTTGCCCGCGTCCGGGGCGGGTTTATGTCACACTTGCTATAAAATAGTATACGATACTTGTGACCTAAGTTGTCTATTACTGCACGGCGTTTAGCACCCTCGCTCCGCTCGGACGCGTATCGTAATGTACTATGGTGCATTTGGGCTTTATTGTGTGAATTGATAGTGCTTATAATTTAAACGAAACAATAAATGACACAACTTTGGCTATTACTTGTCAATATCTAAGTTCTTGAATTATATAGATGGAAAGAGATTACCAAGATACTAAAATAATAAATTAGTCACACAAGTCATGTTCTTTCTTATGGGATTGGCAAATGCATTAAAAGTGCGTCACCGTTTTACAGACATAATTACTAGATTTAGAAACGGGTACATCAGGAAGAAATGATAAAAAGGTGAGTAATAATGGTAGATTGTTTACTAAGGGAGAAAATCCAGAGTGGACCGAAGGATTCAAAGTATGTCACTCGAGCTTAAGAATAGTGTTACTCCCGAGGTGGCACTCTACTTTTTATCACTTCTATGATGTTTATCCCACACCTGCGTGATGCAGTTTCGGGTGGGTGGCTGTGGTACTAAAATGTGCTAAAAATTACGTTTGAATTAAGTAAGGTCCTTCAACTGCACATACAAATGTTTCGTTTTTTCATAACCTCTTTTAGCGTTTCAAATTATCACCAGTCAGCTATTATCGCCTAGCGTCAATAGACACGCAGTCTGCCTATTCATTACGACAAAAGTCTGCAAATTCAAATTTCGAACGCAATTTTTTGCGCATTCTGTACCAATAGTAGGAGCTACTGAATCCTCCGAATAACGATCTGTCTATAAGGCTAGAAATTCTCATGGTGATGAGTCATAGCATGCTTAGTACGGTAAGCATCGCCTGGCACTCCTCATCCCTGCACGTCACAAGCCGTATATTTTTGAAAGTGTCAAAAATATATTAAAAATAGCTTGTAGTTGTAAGCTTGAAATTTTACAGGCGTTCATTTTATAGGCGTTTACGATGAGCACAAGTACCTGCCAGGCGAGCCGGAAGTATGTAATATATACATAAAAATAAACTTTATTCTGTAAGGTTGAAAATTATATATGTAAAGAAAATATAACTAGAAAAAAATCCACGCGGACCAGGCAGCAGACGGGACTCGAACCCGTACCCTTCGCAATCCGGGCGAATGCACCGACCAATTATGCTACCGCAGCCCTCACGGACCGCGTCGAAATTTATCTAGCCATTCTTAAGCTGCAAGGCAGCGCCATCTCTTCGCATTACAGGTAACCCACAATGTCAAATGAATACTTTTACAAGTATTAAACATTTGAAAGAAGAAATAGCAATTATAGTTATATTTTTTATTATTTTTAAAGCATGTAACTGCTTGATGTTTAGATCTAAAGAAAATATAACTAGAAAAAAATCCACGCGGACCAGGCAGCAGACGGGACTCGAACCCTAAAACTTTAAAGCCGTGTTATATGTTACCTTATTTCGAGTTAAAAATTATATTTTAGCACATCTATTCGGAAAGAGCTAGTTTGTTCTCTGTTTATGGGCGCTAAAATAGTGCTTTAATCTCTAGGGACTGAAAGTGGTTTGAATTCGGAATATGGTTATTGTTAGTAATAATTCCAATCACCAAATGGATCAATAACGAACACTTATGTACAAGTATCGGCGTAAACCACGCGCTCGCCATCTTAAAAAAAAAACAGTTTGTAAAAATTACAAACGCGCGAAATACATTTCACCTTGGTTCATAATTGTTAACTCAAATTCGATTTTCTTTGATTTTATAAAAAAATAGTGTCTTCCTCGAGTAGTGAAAATGAAAGTATATTAAAAATACGAGACAAAGTCTTTTTTCACCGACAAAATCCCCAAAAAATGGCTAAAAAGTATAGGTAATCCGCAACAAAATTAC